AAAAAAAAAAAAAAAAGCAGAGGCCTGAGAAAAAACTCACGGGGAAAAAAATGATAGTTTTTATATGGTTTATACACATACATATTTTACATACGTAGATAGTTTTTTTTGTTTTTTGTTCTTTTTTTCTGAGACAGAATTTCGCTGTCACCAGACTGGAGTGCAGTGGCACGATCTCGGCTCACAGGAACCTCCGCCTCCCGGGTTCAAGCAATTCTCCTGCCTCAGCCTCCCAAGTAGCTAGGACTACAGGTGCATACCACCATGTCCAGCTAATTTTTGTATTTTTTTTTAGTAGAGATGGGGTCTCACCATGTTAGCCTGGATGGTCTCTATCTCTTGACCTTGTGATATGCCCGCCTTGGCCTCTCAAAGAGTCAGATATTCTTTTCCCCCTCAAACCCGTACAAACTAAACTTTGTTCTTCTTTTATTTAACGTAATATTCTTGAGCTCAGATTTATCTTTGAGTCTCCAAAAGTTACTTTGGACAGATAATGAACTTCATAAAATTAAGTCACCACCAGAACGACCCAGAATGCCATTCACTACACCCAGGGTGCCCCTGCCCTGCATTTCCATGAGACAAATCCATTTCCAATCCCTCGAGCTTCTACCTACTGGCGGTGCTCACTGCTGATGCATGCTGCGACCACGCCTGGCTCCTCACTGTGGCCTCTGTCCCCTGCAGGCTCTGCCCACGTGCTGTGTGTCACTATTTCTTGGAAGGTCATTTCCCAACCCTCGAGCTGGACCAAGTTTCCTGTTAAACATTCACGCTGCATCACACACACCCCTGCTCATGAGGCCCTGGCATTCTTCATCTTCCTTTCCGCTGAGTCAGTGAGGAGACACTCCTGACACTCCTGGACACTTCCCTCTGCCTTGCACACCCTCGTGCATCTTCTCAGGCTTGCAGGCTCTGGCACGCCTCTCAGCAACCAGCTCTCAGGACCTCTGCTCCAGTCAGGGCTGCCCGATGGCCTCTGCGGCCCCTGGGCTCCACTCCAAGAGCTCCGTGCCACTCTAAACCACTTCTGTCCCCTGCTCTAGACTACAAGTCCCTCAAGGGCGGAGAGCCCACCCCACAGTCTTGAGCTGAGGGTCCTCTTCTCCTAGTCTCTCCTCCGGCAGGGACTGCGCAGAGGCGCTGCCGAATCATTATCAAGGAGCTTCCAAATGGGGGCTACATTTTAAACCACATTTAGATTCGAAAGCCAGCCATGAACAGGCCATTGAAGGGGGACACCAGCCTCTGTCCTGGCCCCACAGAAGCCCTGACATGGGATCAGAACCACTTGGAATAAGGGGGCTACTGTCTACACAGCCCTCCTGGTTCAAGGTCCACCTTCCCCTGCTGCCCTCGGGCTCACGCTGGGGAAGACCCCTTGTCCTGCCGAGAGCTGGCTCAGTGCTCCTCCCATGGTTGGAACAGAGAATTCAAGGGTTTTTCTCTCCCAAAAGATGTCGATGTCTATGTGTTCCCCCTGACCACTGCATATTATCGCATTATTAAAAATGGTAACTTTTTTTAAAAAAAAAAAAAAAAAAGTATGTTTTTAAAAAAAAAAAAAAAAAAAAAAAAAAAAGTAATTTCAAGTACAAGTTGAACTAATGCAAAATAACAATTGTTTTCTTTTTGTTGAGGCAGGGTCTTACTCTGTCTCCCAGGCCAGAGTGAAATGGCACGATCATGGCTCACTGCAACCTGGATCCCCTGGGCTCAGGTGACCCACCCACCTCAGCCTCCTAAGTAGCTGAGACTACAGGCACACACCACCACGCCGACCAATTTTTAAGTTATTTGTAGAAATAGGGTCTCACTATGTTGCCCAGACTAGTCTTGAACTCCTGGGCTAAAATGATCCTGCCACCTTAGCCTCCCTAAGTGCTGGGACTACACGCATGAGCCACCATGCCCAGTCCAAAATGATGTATTTCTATGTTGCTAAACAAATGAAGTGGCTCTCAGCTTAGAAAAGACCCCAGACAAAAGCTGCATTTCTGTTCCCCCATGATATGCATGGGAGGAAAGGGGCGGTTTTTGCTGTTGTGTCTTCACAACTTCCGAAACTTCTTATCCAGCCAGGTCTGTTCCACTTGCTTGTCTGAGTTTGCCAGAGGCAAGGAAGCACCATGGGGTAAGGATGAGAGCAGTCTGGGGCTGTTGTGAGGAGGAAGACGGTGACCACGGAACAGAACTGACCTCTGCCCTGTCTCCTAATGAGGGCCCTGGGCTGCACATAAGATGCTCGCTTCAAATGCTTTTACGGGGACTGTCCAACTGAATCCTTGCTACGACCCCAAGGGGAGGTACAATCGTCTTTTCCATTTTCCAGAGGAGGACAGTACAAATAAAGGGAGATTAGCCGGACGTGGTGGTGCACACCTGTGGTCCCTGCTACTCAGGAGGCTGAGGGCAGGAGAACTGCATAATCCCGGGAGGCGGAGACTGCGGTGACCCGAGATCGTGCCACTATACTCCAGCCTGGATAGGATGAGAATACATCTCAAAAAAAAAATAATAATAATAATAATATTGATACCTTTTGAGATCAAATAAATAAATAAAATAAAAATAGAAATAAATAAAGGGAGGTGGTGGAAAAGCAGATTTAGCTTCAAGTAAAATAGTGAAAGTCACCGGGTAGTCTCACCCATTAAGAAGCCAAGACCGCGCCGGGCGCGGTGGCTCAAGCCTGTAATCCCAGCACTTTGGGAGGCCGAGGCGGGTGGATCACGAGGTCAAGAGATCGAGACCATCCTGGTCAACATGGTGAAACCCCGTCTCTACTA